TGGTGACCCCTTCCTCCCCCCCCCACCAGATTGCGGCGGAGGAAGTGTATTTAGGGCTCCTTGCGCAGGACAATCCTTCTTAATGGTTCTTGCTCAAATCGATCTAACGCAAATACAGTAAAGTTGTGAAGCCGTCCGGAGGTCGTTTAACTAAGTGGTAATCAAATGGTAGTCACAAAAATTTGAATCTAAGAAGGACACTATGAAGTGGGTCCTACGTAGATTACGTAGAGCAACCTTGCCCACAAATCCCTCTCCACAAAAATTAATGAGTCATTTGAAAATAATAACACTCCTCGATAATTTTGAATAGTAACTTACGGATGGAGAAGGCGATTTCGCAACTGCTTTGCGACGACCTTTTCCGCATGAGAGGATATGTCCTCTAAGTGGGAATACCGACGTCGACGTTTCCTTTGCTGCAAATCTAGAACAGTAATAGGGGAAAACATGAGAGGCGCGGCAGGAGATAAAGCATCACAGGCGAGCGTGCACATTCCTTCGTAGGCTCCTCTAGCGACGCGTTTGCTTATAGCAAAACATGTGAAACAAACATGATTCAAGGGACTGTTTCTCAGACATCGGAAGCATACCTCTGCCTTGTCTCGTGAAGTGGTACACAGGCCTCAGAGCTAAAATGCCGACTCTTTTTTCCATCTTATCAACAATTCCAAAATACACCGGGAAAATCAAGGCTAAATTTAACGCCTCCCGTTATTAGTGATGCCTGGCTGATGGGATGCCCACTTGCGTTCATTACCTTCCGAAGAAGACGAAGCAGAAGAGGGGACGAGTCCGACAAAATTGTATTCATACTGTAGTTTCGGAAACTTCCTCGTTTACACCATCAAAGTAATGCGGCTGTTGATCCTGTCCGTCCCGAGTTATTCACCCTTACCATTTGCCTCCTATTATAGCCGTACTTGATGCATGACCTTCGAACGGTTTATTTGCCGCTGAAAAGGTTTGACTTTTCCCAGGTTGATCGCTGGCGGGTTCGCGTGACCGATGTCCTTTGTGTGTCTGATGTAGTTGTGATCAAGTCAGCGTGCTTGTGGGCCTCTCCATCCTCAGCAGAATATCGATATCAACAAAGAAAATGGGCACTGGAATGGCGATTTCTGACTTATTAGCCATCATCAGCCAGTCACACTTAAGCCCACGTAAGCAAACACCTGAGGCCCAAACCTGCGACCTAGCCATTGGGCCCTTTTCGGTAACGATCGGCTATATTAGTAGTCGTAGTAGCACTGATAGTGGATATATATATAAATCCAATCAAACAGTGCATCAAAGAGCAACATTCAAATATCAATGTTCTTCACTGCTACACAAACACAAAGTATGAAATCGATCAATTAACTGCACTGCCCAAGTTCACACGCCACGATGTTACGTAGCTGACAG